TGAATTACCAACCTTGTTGTTCACAGTCCAGTGATTATTGTACAGCGTCATACCAGGAGTCTACATACAGAGACTTCAGACAATGTTATCATCCTCCTAGGAGGAATCTCCCTTTTCTGTGTTAATACAAGAGTGGAGCTCTGATCATTTTAATCTACTTAAACACTGAGCTAAACCAATCTAAATTACAGATTTTGTAAGATTTAGTAGGAACAAGGAGCCTTGGAAGCTACGGTAACACATTACCATAAGGTCAGCCATACCATAAGGTCAGCAGTTCGAATCTACCAGCTACTCCATGGGATAAAGATGAGGCTTTCTGCTTCCATAAAGATTTACAGCCTCAGAAACTGTATACAGGTTTGCTATGAGTTGGAACTGACTCGGTGGCACACATTCACCATCACTACCTAGAAGGAACAACTTTACCTGTTTTTCCTACTAGAACATACATTCTGAAAATGCAGTGGTTTTGTAGGTCTTGTTCATCATTTTTCATTTTTGAAAGATACAAAAAATATTCAATGGAGCACCATGGAGGCTCACACAAATGAGAACTTTGATTCACATTATATTTTCAAAAGGTAAACACAAAGCAAAAATAGAACTGCTTATTGTTCTGGACAGAAAACTTCAGAGGAGAAAATCTGTATATGACTTTCAACAACCTCCTCCTAACTTCTTCATAAAACGAATTCTTGAAAATGAAATCATACTTTACATATAACGTATACACATTATTTTCTAAAATATAAGAATTCATCAGAAAATGGAAAAAAAATTACCAACATAGTTTTATATTTTAGTATATTCTAATTCTTTTATCAGCTTTATCAATCAAATTTACTTAACAGAACATATAAAGCAACTTAAAGGAGGAGGGTCACATACTCCAGAAATAATCACACTGGAAAAGTAGGAAATTTGCAACATACATTTCTCATAGGAAATCTTTCTGATAGTCATGGGATAGAATTGTCAAGATGGTAATAATAATGTTTCACATATTTTTAACTGCTCTTCCTTGTGAAATAAAAAGTCAATTTAAAACAAATAAAGAAAATGTCTCAGAGGGGAATAAAAGGCCTAAATATCCCTGTTGTTATTACATACCATAGAGTCAGTATTGACTCATAGCTGCCTTATGTACAACAGAAGGGAACACTGTCCTGTGCTACAGCAGCTTCTAATAGCTTGCTAAAGCATACAACCAAACATCCAAGTTGGTTTATGGCTCACCATCTACGAGGGCTAGTGCTGAATCTATGTATCAATGTTGATGAGAGCAGCTTCAGTGAAATGAGTCTAAGTGTACAGTCAGGCCCAAGATGTAGACAGGCATTTGTTAAGTTGAAAACAACAAATGAGATGCTTCTGAGAGAAATATATATATTGATGTTTCTCAGACTTTCTTAACTCAAAAGTGTGTTACCTGCAAGTTTTTGTTAGACTAGAAAAGGAATGCATAAAATTGGGTTCAAATCTACTACCCTTCCTTGGGGGTGGGGAAGCAAGTGCTACCTTCTTTTAACAATCAATCTCACACACACACACATACATATAAACACACAGTGACACACAGTATCATCCTACTTAAAAAAAAAAAAAGTGGTTTTAATACATATTAAAGTTACAAAAACATTCCTGAAAGCCTTCAAATGCTTTCAAATGTTTGATACCTTGGGTATGTTTACAGCAGAAATGTCACCATTTCCTGAACTGTGACATCACAGATTGAAGTTCTGGGAATTAACACAGAAATCCTGAGCAATCCGAATGAAAAGACTTCAGGGAATTTTTTTTTTTTTTTAAGTTTCACATTCAACTTCTTATAAAAGTCTAGTTTTGATTTAGAATTTATGGACATGAAATTATAAACTATTATAATTCTTTAAAGATTTTGGTAATGAGATAATACAACAAATAAAATATAGCTATTTTCACAAAGCAATATGAGTTAAGAACAATCTAGAAAATTGATTGTTGTTGTTGTTAAGTGCCGTCGAGTTGGTTCCGACCTATAGCGACCCTGAACTGGGTTTCTGAGGCTGTAAATCTTTACAGCAGCAGAAAGCCTCATCTTTCTCCCGTGGAGCAGCTGGTAGTTTAGAACTGCTGACCTTGCAGTTCGCAGCCCAATTCGTAAGCACTACGTTACCAGAGCTGATATTTGGTGTTAAATAAGGATGCATTTTAAATGCTGGCCAACTTGTAAAACATTTTTAAGTATCAGGGAATAAAAAGATGTTTAAACTATTAAACATTTGCCAATAATTATAACAGTAATTATTTATAACAGTAATTGTAGCAATTACAACAGTTAGTATGTCAAATTTCTTAAGATGACAATGCTCATTACCTTGGAGATGAAACTATTTGTCTCTAAATTAAAATGTAACATTGTTGATAGCATATGAATTGTTTTTAGCCCAAATGCAAAAGTAAATATCCTATCAACTCCTTAAATA